TGTAGCTCATAGCACTACATAACACTGGCACACTGGAAATACTCAATATATTTCTTTGGAATAACAATGGATGAATGTGTAGATACAGATAGGTCAAGTGAAGAGGCCAAATATTATAGTAATAAAAAACATAAGCTTTGAAGTCAATGATCCCAGATTAGAATCATGCTTTTAATTTACTAGATACATAAGCAAATTTTTATTTCTCACTCTGCCTCAGTTTCTTCATTCCTAAAGTGGAAACAAAAATATCAGTTTAACTAAACAACTGGAAGAATCCAAGAATGCTGTACTGAGCGCAATGGGACACACTAAGTGTCTTAGGGTAATTATGTATCTTTGATACCTGGGAGAACATCTCAGAATGGAGGGGGAGCAGAGCATACCAAAAATATATTTTTAATCAAAATATCTTGCATATTACTCTTGTAGAAACAAAAGTGTGTTATTTATAAAAACATTTTTAAATGATCTAGAGCAAGGTTTGCATGATGGTTGGAACTATTGTTGCAGATGTAAGATTCAGAGAAAACAGGAGGCAGGCAGGGCTGTGCCTTGTGCTGTCAGATCACCCAGGAGTAATGCTTTCTTCATTGGGGTACAGTTTAAGAGAGTGGTCATGAGGCACACTTAGAGAAACAACTTAGCATACTGAAGGGACATTAAACTGTGTCCCAAGAATAGCATGAAAAAAAATATAATAATGTTTATACTTCCAAAGCTAAGGAAGAGGATAGACACAATAGTAGGCATGGTCCTGTTGTTGTTGTTGTTATGTGCCGTCGAGTCGTTTCCGACTCATAGCGACCCTATGCACAACAGCTCTAAACCCTGCTCTATCCTGCGCCAACCGCACCGCCTCTGACACACCCATCCCGATTACCCCAGTCACCGAATCAAGGAGGTCAAATTTGGTCAAAAGGGACAAGTGGTAGGGATATAGAATTCAGCTGTTATTCTTCTTCTTGTTGGGTGCCATCATGTATACTATGACTCATATTGATCTTATGAACACAGATCTGAACCTTGTCCTATCCTGTGCCATCCTGATGATCTCCGCCCTGCTCTAATCCTTTGTTGTTGAAACTGTGTAAATTCATCTCATTAACAGCCTTTAACTCCTTCACTGGCCCTACCTTTCTTGGCAGGATGTCTCTCTCTGAGGACTTATTCATCCTGAAAATGTATTTAAGATAAATAAGATGAAATTTCACCCTCCTTGCCTCTCAGGAGAATTCTGATTTCACTTCCTTCAAGACAGATTTGTTTGTTCTTTTGACAGTTCATTGTGTATATTCAGTATTCTTTGCCAACACAGAACTCCAAGGCATCAATTCTTATGTTATCCTGTCCAGTTTTCAGATGCATAGGAGGTACTTGAAAGCATCATGGCATTGCTCAATATCAGGAAAATGAGGATTCTTACTACTGGGCCAATTGACAGTAAGTAATATGATAGATGGAGAAAAGACTGAGATTGTTAACAATTTCAGCTTGTTCTGTTCCACAATCAACACTCTTGGTACCAGTTGCCAGAAAAGCAAAAGACTATTTACATTAGAAAAATCTGTTGTCACAGACCTCTCCAGAGTGCAGAAGAGCAATGATGTCAGTTTAGAGACTAAGATGTGCCTGATCCAGGCCATAGTCAGAACTCTGAACAATGCCCAAAGGTGATAGAAGAATTGATGCCTTTGAGTTGTGGTGCTGGAAAAGAATGTTTAATATACCATGGAATTACAAGAGAACTAACAGGTCTGTCCTGGTAAGGGTGAAATCAGGCTGTTCCTGGAGGCAAGGATTTTGAGGCTCAGTCTCACATATTTTGAGCATGTTGCCAGGATGGATCAGCCCTTAAAGAAGGTCACCAGGCTTGGAAAGGTAGAGGAAGAGCACAGGAAAGGAAGATCTAAGATGAGAGAGACTAACACAGTACTGGTGTAATGAAAGTATGCGTGTCAGAGACAGTGAGATTGGTTCATCAAAAAGCAGAGTTCAGAGCTTTTGAGCATAGGGTTGCTGTGAGTCATAGTCGACTTGACAGCACATAATAACCACCACTACCATGTTGTTTTGGAACAGCACATCAGCAGAGAACTTCCAGAAGTCCAGGCTGGGTTTAGAAGGGGTCGTGGTACTAAGGATATTGTAGCTAATATTAGATGGATCTTAGCTGAAAGCAGAGAATACCAGAA